ACAGCAGAGGCAAATGCTATTTTAACAGCTCTAAAATACATCCACAGCCAAACTAAATATAAACAGTTCATTATTTTTTCAGACTCTCTTTCTTGCATTCAAGCTATTAAAAACATGTCTTCCACGCATCCACTTTTAATGGAAATTGTTGAATTGTTTACTGATCTTGCTACTGGCCAATACGACATCGTTTTCTGTTGGTTACCTAGCCATGTTGGAATCACTGGTAACACGATGGCTGATGCTGCTGCAAAAGCAGCTCTCAACAAATCTGTGACACCACTTCTTCTTCCCTACAGTGATTATAAACCCGTGATTAGATCTTACATCCGTGATCTAATGCAAAAGAAGTGGGACACTCAAGTAGGTATCAATAAATTACATGAAATTAAACCAACAATCGGTTACACCTACTTGGGCTGTCAGTCCAGATTTGAGGAGGTCATAATGCGACGATGTCGTATTGGCCACAGTAGATATACACATGAGTTTATATTAAAAGGTGAGGATCCTCCGTTTTGTGTCCCTTGTGATGAAAGAATCACAGTCAAGCATGTCCTGCTTGACTGCATTGATTTTTCCATCACAAGGGATAAATATTTCCAGGTCAAAACTATAAAGGATCTTTTTAATACTATAAGTACTCATTTAGTTATTGGTTTTTTAAAAGAAATTGAACTGTATCATAAATTCTGTTAATATGTTTTGTGTATAATAACTTTTTAAAAATTAGTAGAATGAATTTATATCTGAGATTGTTAGTGGCAGTATCCTTGAAGGGGGTTAAAGTACTGTAAAATTATTGTCCCCCTGAGAGGGTATCGTAAGTCCCTGTCATTCACAGAATATTTCCATTTACTACGCTTTTAAACGTAGAATTTCTGTCATTTTAATTGTGGCTATAATTATGTACAATCGCCAGCGACTGAAGGGATGATGTAAATCCTGCTAGGGTCCATGCAGGTAGCAAAGGTACTGTAAGTCCCCATGGTCCCTAGTATGGTGATCTACCTTCAGTTGATGGCGATCTATAGCCTGTTTTTAAAATGTAATGTATATGTATAGTGCTATTGATTTTATTTTTACATACTAGTTTTAAGTTTTATTGCTGTGATACGTCTAGTTGTTTTACTGTCCCTCGTTGGCAGGTTTTTACATCCGATTCAATATATGTATTATATTTAACTTTTGATAGTCACGATATGGCTGAAATATTGCCGATGTGACTTAAAATTTTAACTCACTCACTCACTCACTCGAATCTCGTCCCTAAGGTGCTCAAAGGGATTTAAATAGGGACTGAGGGCAGGCCACTGAATGGTTCTGATGCCATTCTGCACCTTGCACGTGCCCATCTAACCCTCTGTTGGCACCAAAGCAGACGGTCCGCCAGATGACGTGGGGTCAATACATGACGTCGGACAGGTCTTCATGAAAAAAGTCCAGCCTCCCTCAGTCTGTTGCGTACCGTTTGATCTGATATTCTGCGTACCCCAGGGATCTGTGTGGTTGTAGACGTGGCTGTGGTAGTGCGGTCTCGGAGGTGTCGCAGCCGGATGTATCGATCTTGTGCTTGGGTTGTCACCCTTGGTCTTCCTGACCTTGGTCTGTCGTCAACTCTGTTGGTGTTGTATCGGGTCCACAGTGCGGAGATTGTCTGTCTGGATACGCCAAAGTGCCTGGCCACTTCTTGCTGAGTTGCTCCAGCTTGTAATCTCCCAATGGCGTTGTTCCGTTGAGCTGCATTCAGTCGTGGCATTCTGTCACCGCCTCTACTGCCGTTATAAGGACTGTATGAACAGCCGTTGATGTGGATTTTTATACCCATTCAGCAGGGGGGCCTGCATGCATAAATGCAGGATCCTGTGCTGCACGTTTTTACAGGCGGTTGCGTTTGGATGAAGCTGTAAAATTGATCCCCAAACGCTAAGTTTATGTGCTTTGCATGTGTTTTCGCGAATTATAGACACATCATCTTTCTGTTTGACTTATTTGGTTCTTATTTAATGTAATTATTTTAGATATTTGGCAAAAAGTGGTTTTACATCTATGTCAAGTTTCCTTTTTTGAAGAGTATATATATATACTAAGAATGTCATGGATATACAGATTAACAGATTGAAATATAAAAAAAGTGCAGCAAAGAGGGTTTGGGTGATCCTGGCACAGTCAAGTTGGTTAGGCTCATCATCAGCTCAGGGCCCTTGCCCCCTCTACACGCAGCCCAGACAGCGAATGGGACTTCTCCCAGGAAGCGCTGCCTAACGGAAACCACCCCGAACCTTTCGGAGGGAGTGAAAACTCCCCAACATTGCAGGAGTCTGCATTACCCAGATTGTCAGAAGGGTTGTATTCCTGGTAGCAAACCCGGGTACTCTCCCAATGTCAGTCAACAGATTTGGAGGTAAAAAAGAACCTAAGGCACCGAGAACAATTGGGAGTCGGTACTTGGAATGCGAGGTCTGCATGTTTGCCATGTTTTTCCTCAATTTTGGCAACCACACTAGTTTCAAAAGGGACAGAAAATTCAATGATATAAATGATGTCTTCTGATGTATCAACAAGGACAAGATCAGGTTTGTTGGCCTGAATAAGTCTGAGGCTGTATACAGGCCTGCTCTAAAAAATTGTATATATATCATTTTACATGACGCCATTTACATATTCTGGGTCGTACCATGGATGGACCTGTGTCAAAACCCAAAACATGGTGAAGACGGTAATAAAATGATCGAACCACTCCATTATGTCACTGAAGATACTGTATTTGTGTCGAAGTGGGACGTCCACTGATAATGTGTTGGACAGTCTTATTGAAATCTACATTTCATATTTATAGTTTGATGCAAAATCACACATTGACGATTGCCAGTGGGAAATGAATGGCCCTGAGCAACAAACAGAAAGCCTTTGGTTTCACTTTTCAGGCGCCAGCTGACTCCATCCAAGCGAAGGACTCTGCAGGCTCGATGGTCGTTCAGATAGCCTCTCCTTGAAAACCTAAGTCTGGGCTGATTTGATATGACACATCGCTTAATAGACACCCATTGCTGTACCGTCCAGCAGTACAGAAACATCATCAATATAAAACACGGACATTGGGATTATATATGTGGAATGCTTTGTTTTCATCATGAGTCTTGACATGCTTCACAAGAGGATCATCAGACTAATAAATGTGTGCAAAAGTGCACAATACGGTTCTATCACGAGGAGCCTCCATATATGGCCACGTTATTTATACCAAGCCATCCCATTATAACTGGTAAATATAGGTGACTAAGGAAGAGCAAGGGTGGTGGGATGTGTTATCTGGCATGATTGTTCGTGTTAGTTTGTCAATATGCTGAATTTCTTGTTTCGTCCATTCACCAAAGGAAAACGAAAGGACGGGAACAGCATACGTGTTTGTGGCTTTGACTTTATTGAGAGCGTTTAGCTCTGAACTCCAGTTTTGCTCAAGTCCACATTAGTATTCTGCCCGAAGTTTGTCACCGATATGGGCATTCTGGAGTTTGCTTCTAACCTGCATCCCTAAGTACAGATAGGCCTGAGATGGCCACAGGATGATCAGTAACACTCTCGTCTTCATTACCACGTTGCAGATGAAGAATGTTGCATTTGTCGAGCTGAAAGGACATGCCAATATCATTACAAAAGAACTCGACAAGGATAATCATTTTTAAAGTGTGGATTCTCCTGTGACAAGAGGTTCAAGGTCATCCATGTAAAGGAGGTGGGTAAGAAGTGTTGGGGATCTGTGCTGAGGGGATCCATGATGACAACCTTCCTCTGAGCAAAACGCTTCATGGATTTTGTGACAAACAGAAAAAGAAAGGACAAAAAGAATCCCCCTGAAATATTCCCCACCTGCCCCTGAGAATATATCTCAAGTTTAGTTGTTGACCAGCAATTCATTAAAGACTTGAGTAAAACAAGTAGTCACTCGGAGAGGTCAATGCATTTCAGTGACTTTACAATCCGTTCGTGAGGTACAGAATCATAATCTTTTCTGTAGTCTATCCAACACATTGAGAGGTTATGATGGTAAGTTTTGGCCTCTTCAAGGCTAATTTTTGTAACCAACAGTTGATCCTTTCGACCCCAACGTCCCTTTCTAGCTTCTTTCAGCTCCATATAATTGATATCATTGGAAGCGCAGCACGATTACACAAGATCTGTAAGACACCCTGTAAACAGTTTATTGTGTGTTCTGACACGTTTGGGAGAAGAAGTGATCGACCTCATGTATCATGGTCTAGGCGAGTTGACACCTTTCCCATCCATTTCTATCTCTATCTCAAGTCGATTCTTTTCCATTTTGTCTTCAGTGAAATACGTTTCTGTGGATTGAAAGAGCTTGAATTTCTTAGCAATGTCTAGTAGATCATTAGATCATGGATAACATTTTGTCTGAGACAGTTATTTATGTACTGTCCTAGTCTGACGTAAAATGGGGTTTTTAACAAAATAATCTGCTTTACATCTGTAGAGTCCACCAAGGTAGGCAGATTTAGTCTTGTCAATCAGTGCTTTCACTGTCCAGAGACCAAGAGTTTCTGTAGTAATTTGTTGATCTGTTGCGGAACTTCTGTATTGATCTGGCAAAGTAGGGTTGCAGTAGTTCTAATTCACGGAGTTCTGTTGGATATATGTTTGCCCATAGTTCATAGAAGTTGCTTAGGAGAATAAGATGACTCCATATTTAAAATACTTGTCAGTGGATTTAGCCCCACACCTCTTAATCCAATATTTCCATTAGAATCAATGGTACGTCTCGCCTAAGCACATGCTCTTGTGGCTCTCTCACTCACTTTCTGTGTGATCATTTAATGTAACGTCTTTATCAACTTTTTGTTTGTCTTTTCCTGTGTCATACAGTTTGAGTTGGACTGCAATTGTAGAAGCCACTGTTTATCACCAGTAAGGAAAATGTCACCAAGAAACGTTAGTATCACAAGATAGTGGTCAGAAATATTTAAAAGCTCCGTACTATTCATATATTTTCAGAACTGATCCTTGTAGACTGCTGGGTATTAAAGATAGTCTCAGCCTGAGTGTTTGTTTTTTTTGTGTTTTTTTTCGAATACGCTATTCAAGCATTCTGCATATTTGCTGATATTGTGATTTGTTGAAGGGGGTGAAGCGCAAACTATACAGAAGTCTAGGCATTGTAGTTGAGATATCGATATGGTCACATCTATCACGTCATCACATGTACCGTCACGTACGCATACATAGCTACTCTCGCAAAATGTTTCACTAGAATAGCTACTTCACCTAATCCAAACAGGACAGTCAAGCTTGTCTCTCATCTTGTCCAGGTAGGTTGCAGTGTTCTCTGTGAGCAAGTGTACTTCTAAACTCAGCACATCACACTGGTCAGCGACCTTATTCAGATGCCTAGAGTTGTATAAGGCTCAGGGAATTCTCCATGTGCCAACGCTAAGCATGGAAATAAATATTCAACGTTATCATTTAGATGGGTAAAACGAGCGTGAATCATTGCTGTTTCTGTATGACTGTGGTATCAATTCCCGACAAGTTTCATTTGGCGACCAGAAGTTTTCATTCTCAGTAACTTGTTCTGCTGTCCTACTGCCTATGTTCACTCTTCGTGTGTACATGTACGTACGAATATAGCGTTCCCAGTGCCTCAACATACGAACGTAACTCACATGGACACCACGCTGTTTGGCATATTCATATTAGGCATCTTGCACCATTTTTAGTGGTTTGTCCGCCTCTGCATACGGTAACACAAACCGTTTTGTCTTAAATCGTGGTGAAATTCTAGACCATTCATTGTCAAAATTTAAAATAAAAGTGACAAAGCCCATTCCATGCTCATAAAAAATATCTGCTAAAAGTAGATTCCATTGTGCGATTCCGACTATATGATAAGTATTTGTTTATCTTTATCACTATATCAATAGTGATGATACTGTGGTGTTTCATGAGTGAAACTTTTCTGTTACATTCAGTTGACTGTTTCATGTTACATCACTCGAAATGAAATGGTCCAATATCAATATGCATAATTACTGTGGTTTCTGTTGCAGTGGGAAATGCAGTTCGATGATCTCTTGAGAACCATTGGAGAGTTTGGACCCTATCAGAGGCGTCTATATGTGTTGTTGTGCCTGCCTGCAATATCAATCGGTATCCAGAGCATATCTTTGGTCGTGTTTCTCTTTGCTGTTCCCGAGCACCGGTAAGAAACATGTGTTTGAAATACTGTTGTTCAATAAGAACATATAACCTACACAACTCTCTCCATAAGAACTCACATGAAATCCGGCTGTATCATATACATGTGTTTATGAATAACTTTCAAATAGTGATGATGGAAAAATAAACATATACTGTCCGACCGGTAACACACGTCATAAATACATGCAATGGCAAGTCAATTGTTCACTTGAAGATTAACATGGAAAAATATGGTACAAGTCAAAATATAGAATTGCATTGGACATCATGATGGACGGCGATGCGTAAAATTTGGAAATGTCCTCGAAATGTCTGCCAAAAAACGTTTTGAAAGCTTTACTGAATTCTTGAATGTTATAACCATATCAAACAGCGTTTGAGTAAGTGTGGTATAGCGTTCTTTGAAATCATCGTAAAAAGAGCATGCTTTATTGTATCTAAAAAAATGTGAACTGCAGGCACAACAAAGGCTGGAATATTGCTCCTCACACAGGGCATGCAGTCTTGTTATACAGGCTTGTGATAGTGAATGCATAGCTCTTAATGAGAAACAGATATGGCGGTTTACATTTGTCCCGTATATTTCTGGTTCATGTGGGTTAACTAGCTGAAGGGTAAACTAGCTGAAGGGAATTGACTATCTGACTTTTATTGAACGACATGTGATCATTCCATTATTGTTTCATGCTGTGGTTTGAGTATTGGCACACAACACCTGAATTGCTGCAATAACTAAATCCAAAGCTCTTTTACTCAACATTTAATAAAGGAAAGTGTGTATGCCCCTAACGTAAGGACGTTGTAATGTCATACTTATGATTAAATGGATGTGATTCCTGTACGAAATGAGGATTCGACCCAGAACAGATCCCCGGCTAGTCGTAAAATGAGGATTGGCTGGACATGATGTGTGACTTAGCTGATGTATTGTTGTATCCCGATGGCGTGAATCGTTGTTTAGCCACCGGTCTGTCTTATAAAGTCTCATCATAATATCTATAATAATGCTGAATGCGGTATTGAAAGAACACTCACTTCACTTAATATGTTCCGGATATGTTTCAGATGCGCAATTCCAGGTGTTCAAAATGATACATACGAAGTTCAGGACAAAGCTCATGAATACTTAATCAACCTCACCATTCCTCGACTGGCATCTGATAACATTTCTTATTCGCCGTGTACAATGTACGCTCATCCCAGCGTCGTGCCCTTAAATAGTGATGATAACCACACGACCCGCTCCAGCAGATACACAGAAACATGTCATTCCTGGGTGTATGATAAGAGTACCTTCGACACGACTATTGCACAGTCTGTATGTATATGCCATCTTATATCATCAATATATCAGCCCATTTATAAAGGTCAATAATTAGTCTCGATCTGCTCAAGCATAGTAATGAGCACATATTGCACCTGGTTATGTCGAATTTCGTCCTATGGTCATGTCAGGACTCACTGGGGGGCACGGGTGGCCCAGTCGTCTAAGGCGCCGCGATTCGCTGTGCAGAGCTGCGTCCCCTGGGCACGCCAGAAACGTATGATTGTGGGTTCGAATCCCGGTTCGCCCCGATTATGTTTCTAGGTTTGTCAGTACCATACCCGTGCTCGTGGGTTTCACCGAAGTGGTAAACGTCCGAGACCTGCATCACTTCGGGCTTTCCTCCCACATTAAGCTGACACGCCGCGATATAACTGGAACACTGTTTAAAGCGGCGTTAAACCCAACTCACTCACTCACTCATGATCACTCAGGACTCACTGGTCGTGAGTCATGATTATGATCCGTGATTTGTCAGCACCATATCGGTTCTGCGAGTTAGCCTCGCCATGCCAATAAGATCAGTCAGTGATTTGTCTGGTCCAGACTCGATTATTAACATGCCGTCGTCAGGAACTGGTATATATGGCTGAGTACAGCGTTAAAGAACAAGAAAAACAACAAAGACATATTATATCATGGAAGACTGTTTCAGCAAACTATTTACGAAATTCGACATTTAAATTGTGTTAATCGGTTAATTATTCGTCCGCTGATATATCCGACATACATGTAGAAAAGACACGAGGGTGAGGTTCTATTTATCATCAAAAATCAGTGTTTCAACTTTTTCGGTTGAAACGTTTATACCTCCATAAACGCAAAAGACATCTGCGTATTGTTTTCATGTTTCCATTGTTTCCAATAGACTGTATCGGACGTGCAGATAAATTCCGCCGGTGTGCGTTCAGTTGTGTCCGAAATGGCGTCCCGCGGAACTGAACACAGACAATGTCTGTTAAATTTACGAACTTATTGTAATGCATCTATTTTCGATTCCCCGATTCCTGCTATGATCACCACCCAAGGCATATTTTCAGTAATGTAAGGCAATGTATGCAACCAACCAACCAACCAACCAATCAAAATAGGAGAACATGCTACAAAGCGTAAATCTGAATTTTGCTTTGTCAACGTTTCCAAGCATGTAAAGCGTTTTCAGTTTCATTGGCGGGCATTTCATTTGATTTTAAAATGTCTGAGGAATTCCGGGATGTGTGTATCGCAACAGAGTTACTGAAATATATGGGATGCAATATATGTCTTATAACGGCGAACGCGAAACGTGATGTTTTCTTTTGTAATCACTATCCAATATGGCCGAAAGTTCACTTCAGCGTTCGTGTTCAAATATTTTTCCAAAACGCGCAAACCCGTTTCGGTCTCTTGGCGACTTTTCGGAATGGTTATTAGTGATGTGATAAATTACAGATCCCCATAATCGATAATGTGCTATGTTCGTACTCTAACTCTCCGAATAATATCCAATAGTAAATTTTCAAAACATACACGAATTATTGCCGTGAATGGTGATTTAGTTTAATTCCAGATACAGCAATATCCCCCAATGAGTGAAATCCCTGTATTAGCAGCTTTAATTAATCACCACCAGTGGGGACGCTTTTTAGAGTATGTACCCAGAAACCTCTATAGACCCGTCAGCTGGTGGTGGTTGGGAGGTTGGGATCTGAAGCACTATTTGGACGGGCCAAGATTCAGTTCCTTGTATTTACATGCCGCCATAACATGGCTGGAACAACTGAGCTGTGGCGTAAAACAACAAGCACATCATCTATCCATCACTTACCATTAACGTATAGGTTTTTCAGTATGATTGATTGCAGATGAATATGGTTTGTGACAAGAAATCGTACGTGACGCACGGGAAGATGCTGAACATGGCGGGACAAGTGATTGGCGCCGTCGTCAGTGGAGTTCTCTCGGACATGTATGTCAGCGCATTTTTATGTGAAATAAATATCATTATGAAATGCCAATGTTATTTTGTTTCACTCGAGTATATGTTCGGCTTGAGTGCGAATTTGGTACGGATAAACTGCCTACATAACACTCTGATACAGAATATAGTGGTCAGTGTTATCAGGGACCGACCATGTCATATTCTCGGTGGGTGGGAGCTGCTGGAAAGTTATTTGGTATAAGATATAACTGCAAACATTATATTGTGAAAAAACAACTGCTGGTTAGGTTTGGTCTTCAGCAACCAATGACTGTAAGAGGCGGCTAGCGGGAACGGGTTGTCTGGTCCAGACTCCATTATTTACATACCGCCGTCATTTAGCTGAAAAATAGCTGGGTGCTGCATTAACCAACAAAACCATGAACATTATCCGGCTCCTTTCTCAGAGCCGCCGTCATATAGCTGGAATATTGCTGAGTGCGGCGTTAAACAACAAACAAACCAAACAAACCTTTCTCAGACATACTCGAAAAATGTCCCATGGTCGGTCCCGTCAATTAGGTTTAGCTTGTATGATAAGCATGTGAAGACGAATTATCAGATCCTTATTTTCTTCAGCACTGGTAGGAATACTCATTATGTTCTAACATGGCCTGGATAGCTCTTTTCGTTTCGTTACAGATTTGGCCGCAAGACTGTCATTGTCGTTGGTATGGTTCTAACCACAGTTTTGAGCGTGTTGCTGCCATGGGTCACCAGTTTCAATGTCTTGGTCCCTGTAATCATACTGATGACGGCGTGCTCAAGCACTCAGTATCTGGCTAGCTTCGTCTTCGGTGACTGTCTTTTCCCACATCTGCAAACACTGCACTTTGAATTTGCACAACTAAAGCTTCTGGCATATTGAGGCGTTTTGATGATTTTTGGGTGCATTTATCTCAGGTAGCGTAAATGTATCAGGATCTGCTGATCGTTGGGATCGAATCACGGGTCACCGCTCACTTATGAAAAGCCGCGTTAAAACTAAATCGCGCACCCATGCACTCCCCCTCACATGTCATATGCCACCACATGAGAATTCGGTACGCGTCTGTCAAATTTCTTCAATTTAATTTCTCAGGAGGTTACTATATTTTGACGGTTAATAAAACGGCCCAGGTTCTATTCACCACATCAGTGAAAGGGTTTCCACCGCCGTACTATTGCTGCAATATGGCTAAAGCGGCGTAATACCCAACTCTCTACGACGATCGCTACTAATACTTCAGACTGCTGTGCACTCGTAAACGTTACACTTATTTGTTCTAGAATCAATGTACTTTCAATACTGTTGTTGTTTATTGTTGAAAGGTCTGGAATTGGTGGGTCATTCAAAGAGAATGCTGGCGGGGGTAGCCATCAACTTTTTCTGGAGCATCGGCAACTTGATAGTTGCTCTTGCTGCCTTCCTTCTGAGAGACTGGAAAATAAGGCAGCTCGTGCTGAGTGTGCCATCCTTCATTTTTCTATATTTGTTGTAAGTACCTTAATGTTGCCCTACTACCAACATGTGCTGCTTTCATGAGGGAACTACATGACTTTTTTTATGTTGGTTACAACACTGTAGACGAGGCTGAGGGTGAAACATGACAAACTTCAGTGAATGTAAATGTCTACATTCAAAATGCTATGAATGTTATTATAAATACTCGAGATAGTTGCTCTTGCTGCCTTCATCCTGAGAGACTTGAAAACAAGGCAACTGGTGCTGAGTGTGCCATCTTTCTTTATTTCTATATTTGCTGTAAGTACCTTAATGTTGTCCAGTATTTATCGAAATACAGACATGTGCTGCGTTGATGAGGGAACTACAAGACTGTTCTGTATATTGATTACAACACTGTTGACGATGGTATGAATGTAACGGGAAAGATCAACGACTGTAAATGTTCACATTCAAATCCATAAGATGCAGGGAATGTTATAATGATAAATGAACAACTTAGCAATCTGCATGTGAAAGGATAAATTTCAAAGAAGTGACGTGAAACAAAAATATATTTGGACAGTATCCATACATTCTCTATATTTTGGGGATGTTCTAGAACAGGATCCAATGTAAGCGTTAGAAACCGGAATCCAAAGAATGCGTCATTGTACATGCATATCTTTACTTATATATTTCAGTTTTATACCAGAATCTCCCAGATGGCTTCTCAGTAAGGGCAAGACCGAAAAAGCAAAGACAACATTACTGAAGATTGCAAAATCAAATGGAGTTATCATCCATGAAAACGATTTAGAGAGTATCACAACAAAAGAAGAATCAAAGATAGAATATTTTTGGGAGCTCATTAAATCACCAACCTTGTTACGAAGAATGCTGATTCTATTCTATAACTGGTAAAGTGCCAATAGTAGCTATATTCAACATTTTCAACATATCCAAGAAGACTCAAACCTAATTAAACAATTTCAGTCGTTATGTACATTATTTGTTTGATGTTTCTGTGTTATGATTTCGTGTTTGATTGTGTTCGCACTCCTGGTATCATCGTTATTTGATAGTGATACATGTTTATGAAGTACTCAGACTATCTTACAATTGACTCTGGTTTTTGTGACTTCTTTTGATAATTTAAATGTTTATTGTTGCTTTTATTTACCTTAAGATAGAAGAATGTTATAGTATTCCCCATTTGTACAATATCGACTAGCGCACAATATTGCACGTAGTTGACACTTTTTTTCAGAAACATAATGATCTCAAAATTACCAACGTCATAGTGTGAGGTATCGAAGTTGAAAACATTACAGGTGTTGAAGCGAAGATCGAAAACTTTACACTACCATTACACAATGATAATACCAAGGCAAACAGTTTGGTGATAGCGAAAATCAGTAGTGATGTAGCATCGGTTGACCCGAATCAGTAAGTTGAAAGGGCGAATTCATGAATATCTGCTTATTTGCATATTTGTTTGCTTTCGTGTATCCAAACCATAACTTTCTCCATAATACTTAAACCACTAAAACGAAACACTAAAGGTCCAGAAATCGTGTAAGCAGGATTCAATGTTGAATGTAACAATACACACACCAACTATTTGTACGTCAAGTTTGTTCGATACCGCTGGTGGATCAATGACTCTACAGGTTTCTAAAATGTCATAGAATAATCCTTGTAGAAGAATTTTTTTCAGTACCGTTCTTCCTATCTCTGATATTGATTGATTAATTTAAATTTGTGAATGAATTACATGTTTTGATTGTAGTTCAACTGTATTGTAAACTTGTGTGTGTTTTGTATCGAAACTGTGATATTTACTTTACTGTCGATATTGGGAGCTTTTACCATGTATAATTTGTTCACGTCGCTGAGATGTTGTGGATTTGACATTAAGTTTCATTTGTATATATGAATAAATTCGAAATAGAAGTTATATACAATAAATATTATACCTAACATAGTATTTCTACTCAGGTTTGCAGTTGGAATGTGCTTCTACGGCCTTAGCATGAACGTCACCAACCTTTCTGGCAACGTCTACCTCAACTTCTTCCTGTTTGTCTCCGTGGAGGCGTGCGCCTACGTTTTGTGTCTGCTCTTGTTGGATCGAGTTGGTAGGAAGTGGATGCTCTGCGGTTCCATGATAGCTGGGGGCGTCGCTTGCCTTCTCTCCTTTTTTCCGTTGCTACTCTCAAACAATCGTGAGTGTGAAGCTTACCTGCTTTTCACAATTAGTCGTATCGTTAAGCTTAACATACATAGGTCGTACATATTGCAAGCAGTTTATGTTCCAGCATATTATATTCCAAGGTGCCCTTAACAATGTTTGATTGACTCCCTTATCATAAACAGTTATCAATTGAAGTTGTCATCATATTACCGATTCAGTATCGCTTGAGTGAGTGAGTGAGTATAGTTTTACGCCGCTTTTAGCAATATTCCAGCAATATCCAGAAATGGGCTTCACACATTGTACCCGTGTCGGGAATCGAATCCGGGTCTTCGGCTAGACGAGCGAACGCTTTCACCACTAGGTTACCGGACAGCCCTAGTATCGCTTGAAATGACTCAACAATTTGCATTTCGAGGATAACCTTTAAACGTTTTTAGTTTGGAATATTTGTTTGTGTGTGAAGCCATGGAGATATTTGCAGAAGTAACTGTGCAAAATATCTATTAGTCGCTGTTTTAAGTGGCATTAAGTAGGTTAACTTACCAATATTTACACAAAATCTTTTCTCCTTTGTTTCGACCCGGGCTTCATTTGACTCTTAAATCAGTTAAACCTCGGACCGAAATTACTTTTCAAATAAGAATAAACTCTTAAATCTGCATCAAATATTTGACTGCCTCCGAGGTTTAGTAGATACAGTGTCTGCCCTGTGTTCCGATCCCCTGGCAGCGTCATACCAAAATACGTTAAAAGTACTTGTTTCATCCCTGTCTAGCGTTCGGCATTATGGGGATAAAACAAGGACTGGTCGAGGCGGAGTCAGTATAATGTGTTTTCGTGGGGAGTCCATAGCAGTAGGCTAGCATGAAACCGGCAAAAGTCCAGACTCTTACAAGCAACCACACACACAGGTGCTTGTAAGTGAAAAGTGCAATCATCAAGAACGGGACGTTAAATCCCTTTTAACTCTTTACTTATCTCCAAACACATGCAACATTTATCTTTGATGTCGATGTCAAATGTCAGATGTTCAAAGTTGATGTGCTTGAAGGAGTTGACTTGTCCGTTCTGAGGTCAATCTCAGTAAAATTTGATCTTAGTTCTCGCTATCGCTGAACAAAGATCTGAGGACATCCCATTAAGGGTCACGTCAGAAAAACCTTTCATCCAACCAATCAGACCGTCGTTTACCAGATCATGAAAGTGACAGTCGGAATGTGGTTTCTAATCATGCAACCACGAAATATTTAACACGGGATATTCCGAACGACAGTTACGGGTTTTATGATTATATTAATACAATCTTGGCCATCTATAAGCCATTTAAGAATGTTCTTCTTATCAGTTTTAATTTTTTTTAATCGAGAATACGTCAAAATATGTTTCGAATCGTAGTCGCTAGTTTGAAACTAGTGTCGTAAAGCTCGAGAAAGCTGCCTTCTTATTGGCAAATGTCGATTTCTTGTCAGTCATTTCATTGGTCGGTTACAATTCGCGAAAGGTCGTTCTGACGTGACCCGTAATGGGATGTCCTCAGATCTTTGTTTAGCGGTAGCGAAAAGTAAGATCTGATTTTAATGAGATTGGTTCTGAGGGGTATTTTCTGGTCCTGTAGGAAAGATCCGACTCCTTGTTACATCCCGATCGTCAATGACCATGTACAGTCGAACAGCGCCGCTGCTGTAGCCAGTCTTCACAGCGAAACGTTTTTCATCAGCAAAATTTAGAAATACATATATACAAGGGCACTGGTGAAACAACATTGAAGGTGTAATGCCGATATATATCTGTAAAATTAATTGGGCGTGTAGATCAAAATCTAATGTCTCCACCACTTTAATGGCTCACTGCTGAGTCACAGTACGTATGGTTGCCCTTGGTATTACCCGCCATTGCGCCTGAAGAGCTACCCCAAGCTGGGCCACGTGGGCGGGTGCTGGGTCTCTGGTGTTCATATAATAATATTACATGTTTGAGGTAATATATAACTTTAGTTTACAACTAATGACATTTCAAGGTTGATAATGCAAACTAAGTAGTTAACTTGTTGACTTGTTAAGCGAATGCACGCCGGTGGTTACGTTACGCGTGTTTCACAACTCGAGCAGCTAAACACAGCAGCATGGCGAAGAAATCATTATGTTAGCTTATTCACTGATAAACTCACAAAAATGACAGTAAACCCGTTTTGCATATGGTAACTGAAACGCCATTTCCACTTTCGCTTAATATTCATTACAAAACTGATACAAGGTATTTACTAAAAAAGTGATTTTATGAACTATTCTACCATGAATTTGGAATTAACTCGATTCTGATTGGTCAATCAGAGGCTATTAAATCACAAAAACAGCTTTGAAATTGAAACAGCTGGTTTGACGACCGCATCACCGCGGAAGCTAATATTCATAGAATAGTACTATTTTCAGTCATTGTCGGTAGGCATATTTAAATAATTATATCTACAAAATGCACAGATCCGGTTACTACAATATTCAAAGGATGTGTGGTAATACATTTCGTGCAGAAAACACGATAGAAATCTACAAAGGGAATGTATTTACGTCTTGGAGACAACAGAGAGCTTGGAATTTGGGCTTTTTTCTATATACGACTGTGACGTCATATCTTTTGCGTCACAATGAGCGATATGACGTCATAATGGTGACGCGCGATGTAGAGCGAAAGCCTTGCAAAGCTTGCTTTGTTTTCTTTAGGGATGCCCACCTCATGTTCGCTTACTAGCTTACCAATTTGCCGTGCTTATATGCTTTCAATGCCTGTCATATGTTCGAGTGAAGTATTACGGTGTAAGCAAACTTCTTGAGTATATACAGCACCATATTTTGTTCGGTGATTCCGTTATTCAGATTGATAACCCATTGAAAAGACTGAACCCAACCCATGCCGCTTCACTCAGTATATTTGCTAACATTAAAGAGTTCGCGTTTTATTTAGTCATGGTAGAATGGAGATAAACATACTGTGTTTTCAATGTAGAGCTAGGTTACCTGTAGATTTAACCGAGCTAAATTTAACATTTGAAACCTCACGCTGCGCGTTCGATTCCAAATTCAATTTAGCGGGGTTAAATGTACAGGTAACCTAGCTCTACATTGAAAACACAGTATGTTTATCTCCTAATTCTCCCAGTGTGAAAGAAGGCAAATTGGGATATCCCTTCAAAGTATAGCTAAGTTGAAATTAAAGCGTCAAATGTTCTTAAAGTGAAACACAACACCAGTCTCTGAGAAAATGGCATCACAAGTCAGTATCTCGAGTTCCGCATTGTGCGTTGATTACTGCCGTGCAACGTCGATACATGAGATGGGTGATGCGGTTGATGAAGGCCATGGGCACTTGAGCCCACACTCTGAGGAACGCCAGACGTTGTTCAGCTGCAGTTCAGCCGTCTTTATATCTAGTCCCACAGACCACTGCATGGTTCTGATGCCATTCTGCTGGAGGAAGTGTCTTCTTTCGCTCGCAGTGTGGTCACGGGCGTTATCATGCTGAAACTCGTGGTTGCGGCAGCGTGCCAAATGAGGTATAGCGTGTGGTCTCAAGACTTGATCAACGTACCGAGCTGCACCATTGCCTCTCCCTGGACCGATGTTCTGTAAGACCACAGGGCCGACCCTCTGTGCAAGACCAATTCCACCCCGCACCATGATGCTCCGACCACCCCACGAGTCTCTCTCAACAACACAAGCATCCGAATAACGTTCCCTACGGCGTCTCTCTCTCTCTCTCTCTCTCTCTCTCTCTCTCTCTCTCTCTCTCTCTCTCTCTCTCTCCGCGCCATCTGCTGTTGAGATACAGTAACGGCTCTCGTCTGAATAGAGTAGTCTTCTCCACTGCTGTTGGCGCCAATGCTAGTGATGTGTTGCCCACTGAAGACGGCCCCGGCGATGACGTGGTGTCAGAATGGGTCCTCGATGTGGCCTTAGACAGTGGACGTGTCTGTTCGTCAATCGTTGACGCACGGTGTCCGCACTAATGTGTGGCTGGTATGTCCCCATGGTCTGTCGAGCATTTTCCGCAGGAGTAACAAAGCTATCTTGAAGGTGCTGTCGCACAATCTGACGATCCTGACGTCGGGTGGTGACCCTTGGTCTTCAACTACGTGGTCGGTCGTCTGTTCTGTTGGTGTTGTGGTACCGTTGCTGATGCATTGGCTACTTGCCGGGCGGTTTGTCCAGCTTGCAATCGTTCAAGGGCTTGGTGTCGCTGATTTCTTGTCAATCTTTGCATGTGGTAGCAATTCAATAACGAATGAATGCTATCCGATCTGGGTGGATTTTTACAGGGCAAGAAATGGGGGAACTCACGTGAATCAGCTTACCATGGCCGTTGCTGTGATGCGTTTGGGCGATCGGTTTCATTGTCACCCGCTTTGTTTTTTATCATCAAATTTCATTTTTTTCGGACAAGGTAATGTTGAATTATAGAAACTTTGACAAAAATTACCCTGATATTTAAATGACCCCTTTTCATGCAATGTTACTTGGGAATGACGTTTCTTTTGCGGTTCAGTATTTTTCTTAAATGTTTTTCTTTCCTTATACGCAGCAGAATCTCTGCACTATTAAACATCAGACGTAATTCAAACTTAACACATCCTTTATAGTTTAAATAAATCTAGACTGGAGTTGCTGGATCATCAAATAATCTGTTTCGATACAGGCCGCCACAGTATGGCAGGAGCTGTGCGGCGTCAGCGAACAAAGGCTTACTTTTTTGCAAATTGTGTGAGTGCTGGGTGCTACAGGTAAAGCAGAACATGCTTACCCGTTTCGCGAATAGCTGATACATCACTGATCTTCAGTGATCCATTCATTACATTTTCACCACTATTTTGCCTTTTACGCCCAAAGAAATCTGTTCCTGCAGATAATCGAGACTAGTTATTCCCTGGCGTTTGATTCTGTCTATCGTATTGCGTTACTCTTCAGAATGTAGAGGAGGAATTTGTTCTCGATGCATAAATTGATGGTGTTGTTCTTTTAAGTTATGAAGGTCAACATTGAGAATATTTTATTATTTGCTGACGATATTGTTATTATGTAGTAAGTGATACAAAGTAATTATTATTGTAAATCAATACTGATACGTGTAATGTGATAGTTTCACGAAATACTGGCAAATTAAGAAATTATGAAAAGTTCAGAATATGCAACTCGAAACCTCGAGACCTAACCAAATTTGAGTACTTTGGGGTACAGTTGTCATCAGGCATTCTACCTCAAAGAACTCGAGTTTGGAAACATCATTAACTAGGGTATTGAGTGTACAATGTATAGCTAACAAGTTTCAGTGGCCAAGAGATCAGTTATTTCATTTGATTGTGACGTCATGGTAACCGATGATTGTCTGCATAGCATTGTGATTCAAATCACAGAATAGAAATGACCGTAACTGTAAATCAGTTTTATCTCTCAAAATGGTTAAATGTTAGTGACATTATCACTGCATATTTTATTATTAACATAAACAAAACAATGGTGTGTGTTGTGCAACAGTATTTCGGGTTCTGTCAAGAAATGATTGTAATGAAATATAAATGTTTTATGGTCTCTGTACGCCAATAAACCAATCAGTCACATCTGGTAAGGTACATAACTTTCTGCAAAGCCTTCCAATGGTCCCAGCGAGAGTGTGACTCGGAACTTTGCCTATACGTCATTTGATATTTAAGCAGTGCATTAACTTCTAAATGGTCTCTGACGATCTCTAGCCCATTTTTATATTGTGTTGTTCCTTAATCCTTAATGCTTTTAAATGTTCCACAACTAGTTTTAAATCTTATCTGTGATATTCTAGTTATCATACTGTCCTTCGATGACAGATTTTTATAAAGTTTAAATATATGTATATTTCATGTCTAACTTCTCGTCACGATATGGCTGAAATATTGCCGATGTGACGTAAAGCATTAACTCACTCACTCATTCACTCACTCTAAATGGTCTCTCTGGAAGGTGTGTCCCTTTATCGTGCATTGATCAACCATTTGAATCCACATTGATCTCACAGCACCAAACCCATGTCATGTCTTCATCCGGCTTCCAAGTTAAAGCTGACAAATTGTAATATTAGTGAAATACTAGATGTTCTGTTCTTAAGTATAGATTGTTATAATTTCAGCTGAGCAATGGATTATCAACATGCTGGCCTGCCTGGGTAATACGTGCGTGTCAGCAGGGTTTGCGGCGTTGTACGTTTTCACGGCGGAGTTGCTGCCAACGACATCCAGGAACTCTGGCATTGGCCTCTGTTCCATGTGCTGCCGCGTTGGAAGCTTGGTGTCACCTTACATCAATGACTTGGTGAATTAACTTTACCCTTTTTCCATTGAACATAAATCTGTTTGTTCTTCCGGAATGTCACCAATGCGCCAATTTAATATTAATTTCGTCTTGGTTGATAATTCGGAAATCTTGAAATCATTGATTGGAAATATTTAGTTGGTTATATATAATTACGGTATTGTTATAATAGTTAAATTCTCTAATATCATAAAACAACAAGGGATATCATTGTGGACAATGTGAACAATAAACTCGTATCCCAAATATGGTATTTAATAAGCTAAAAATAGTTTTAGGATTCGGTGAAGGACCAACGCTTTCAACGTCTCCAATCCAATCTTCAACTGAATGTCGACTTTCCTATATTTATACCTCGACAGGTACTGCATATTGATGGCAGATACAAGAACATTGTTCCTTTGCTCATCTTTGGGAGCATCACTGCCTTGGCTGGTGTTCTCGCATTGCGACTCCCGGAAACACTCAATAGAAAGCTTCCGGAAACAATACAGGACGCTGAAAACATAGTGACGTAAGTTGCAAAATCTTTACCCCTTGTGAGTGAGTGAATTGGGTAAAACGCCGCTTTAACTGTATTCCAGTTATATCGCGGCGTGTCAACTTAATGTGAGAGAAAAGCCCGAAGTGATGCAGGTCTCAGACGTTTACCACTTCGGTGAAACCAACGAGTACGGGTATGTTGCTGACAAACCTAGAAACATAATCGGGGCGAACGAGATTCGAACCCAGACATCATAGGTTTCTAGCAACTCTGCACAGCGAATCTCGGCGCCTTAGACGACTGAGCTACCCGACTGGGCCACCTTGTGAATAATTTGATACTTGATACTTCAAGTGGTACTCTATGCAAATTATTGCCATGTTATTTTTGTCTGGACCAGACAATCCAGTGATTGGCTACATGTGCATCGATCCACGGAGTTGGGATACGATGAAACGCATCGACCAAGTCAGCGAGCTGACCACCCGATCCGGTTAGTCGCCTCTTACGACAAGCAAATTCGCCTCTTACGTTTTGCTATGTTAAGGAATGTTTAAAGAAATAAAGAAAACCCAATGCCTCTATCTTCATCAGAACGTTCAATACACCGGTTCAATGACCTTACATCCTGTTAAAGAAAAGACTTGCCATGTGCAGTGCGACTTGAACAGCTATATTAACAAGAGTTGAATTCACTTCTAGTTTAATAGCTTTATTTCCTGGTTTGGAAAGAAACATGTATAATGCAAAACATCCTTTAAAGATAAGGTCCATCCAGCTACCTTAGAGAGAAAGATATATGCACTGGCTGTTTGACAGAAGGTCACAGTGATTTTCCACTGAAATCATTAGCCAGTCATCATCGTCATACTTCAAAATATATAACCACTACATACATAAGATTTAATGTATAGATAAATGCTGACCATTGAAAACGGCAAGCATACTTTTAGAATAGCCTTGACGTTATACATAGGTCACTCACAACCACGTCAGATCGCAGCCCTGTCTCACGAATGTTAAAGTGTCATGGAAATATTATAGATAAATCTTGTGTTATCGTTTAAACGAACATTTTTTCTTGGACCTCGGGGATGACCCTCAGATAACTGATCAATGTGTCAGAACATTAATCCCACATATATTATAAAGGTATGCATGACATGTTATCCCCTGCATGTCCACACGCTGTGTGGTTTTAAAATCCAAGTGGTTCTGTGGTTGTTCAGTTAGTCAGAACCTTTACATTTACATGGAACTGTCTGATGGCCCTGATTACATTACATCAATGACTAGTGAATGTAATTCCCATCGGCGTAAAGGTCGCAGTGCTTCAATCTAAACTTTGACAAACACCAGTCTGAGAAACCTAGCCAAGAATAGTACACGTGGAAGTGAGTGAGTGAGTGAATATTGCTTAACGCCGCATCAGCAATTTTGCAGCTATTCGCGGCGAGAAATGTCTTTTCATAATCAGATATCAACCAATAGAATAAAAGTGATGTTGAAAATCACTAAAATCTCAGTCATATATCACATTCAGAGGTAAAAAACTGACTGTTCAGGTAAAAATCTATATTTTATCATAGAGCTTGATTTCCTTTAAATACGCTAAAATCAAGTGATTAGAAACTGTGGTAAAAAGTTCAGATAAGGTACGAACATTATCATAAAAACGTTGCCTGACAAGTGCAAAATCAACACATTCCAGCAGAATGTGTTTCATAGTAAGAGGGCTATGGCAAGGTATACAAAAAGGTGGATCTTCACCCTTCAATAAAAACGAATGTGTATAATAACTATGGCCAATTCGGCACCGCTGTAAAACAACCTCATCATGACGATGTAAACCAGAACATGCGTGACCTCCAATCTGTGGTTTGATAGCATGAAGTTTGTTCATAGTCTTGGTATTCCAACTTTTTTGCCAATGGTCATTCACATATTGTCTGATGGAAGGTTTTAGATCAGAATAAGGGAAGTTTGTGTTTGAAATTTGTTTATTTAGAGCGGCTTTTGCCGAAGAATCTGCTTTACAGTTACCACTGATGCCAACATGACTGGGCAGCCAACAAAAAATTATATCTTTTCCAGCTACGGATAAATTGAGATGACATCTTAAAATGTCAGCTAAAAATGGATGATCCACTTTTCGATTTTTGATGGCCTGTAAACAGGACAAACTATCAGATAATATGAGAAAACTGCTTTTAGAAGACTGTTCAATATATTGCAAAGCTAATAATATAGCCTGAGCTTCTGCCGTAAAGTACACGTGGAAGAACACGTTTTATGCCTTATTCTTTATTCATCAGATGTGGAGATACAACCGACAGGGACGCACATAGTCTTCGTTTTAAGGACAAGAGACCACGCGAAATGGAACCGGATGTTTTCTTATGAAGGCATACACACAGATTGTAGATGTATGAATACTTATCATTTGAATATAACTGTTCATATTTAAACTATATACATTAAACTATTTGATGAATGGACTTTCCATCTTTGCCGACTATTCATATTATATCATTTTCATTGTCATTCTTGTTTGTTGTCTTTTCCTGCTGTTGGTCTGATTCAAGATTGGAGAGTACTGCAGTTGTCAGTGATCAGCCTTCTTTGTAAGGTTTTACAATATTATTAAAAGTTTACCCAATTACCATAACTGATATCAAAGTGTTGCTAGCAGTTGCACTGTTGTAGCAGACTTTCAACGATCTTATAATTGCCATCGAATTGTGATGAAATCCTGGACTGAGATTTGTTATACATATTGACCACACACAGCCATGAAACTGTAGATTATAGGCTAATACTCACATGCCGAGCATCTCGGCGCTTTTATGGTTTCTGGAAGTGTTTTTCGGAGTGTTTCTGGCAGTATCAGCGTCAAATTACCAGAAAAAGGTCACCATACCTCCATATATCAACATCGGCAGGTGTTGGCTGGCAAGACGGCCTGTTGTAGAGAGCCTCTAAATAAGCAAATAACATTCAACAAATATCCTTTTGTATCCAAACAGTATAATGCACGAACGGTTAAGACTTGTTTTGTTAATAATATCGTGAAAATTCCATTTGAATATCATATGTGTAAACTCACTAGGTCAACAATATCGAGAGAAAGTGTTTCTTCTTGATCTGCTTTAGTATCATCTGACAGCCAAATGTGGGTGGAAAGTCAACAGGGATGACTACCACCACATTTTGCAGAAACAAATCAGCCCGGAAATTGTGCCAAAGGATCATTAAAGAGGCAATTCTGAGACAACTAAACATTTCCGTTTGTTCAATATGCTTTCGAATGATCGTTATGTATGTGTCAAGGGAATGACAACTTGTGATCACTGTTTGGTGCTTCGATTCCCAGTTCCCCTAGGAATGTGCAGCATGAGAGTCGACGGGCGAAGCTGGCAAGGTGTGACCTGGATGTCTGGCATCATGTACTGTCATGGAAGCCGCCATTTTGTTTGAAGCAAATACAAGTGATTTTAGAGGTGGAATTTGATTGGTCAATAGGAGTGACACAGAAGAGACATAACTCGTGATAGCCACTGGTGGCGCTACGATCGAACCCAGAAATTCCAATCTAGTTCGGCAAGGGTGGAAATTGGACTTTTACAGTCAGTTAACTCCCTTGCCTCTGGAAGATGAGTGATGTCATGATCATGGGTTATGATCATAATTAATGACGCAACGAAGTAATATAATCAAAATGGAAGCATACAGCTCGTCTTTGTAATACTCTTTGCTGTTCTTATGGTGTGACTTACCCGGAATGGATGAAAAAAAGGCCGTTCATTGTCTTCGTTCTGGATTTGGTAAGTGTTGTTTGCTAGTTCTGGAATAGCGCAATTGTAAAGGGGAGACGATCATTATTTACTCTATATTCAGAGACACGATCACTTTGATCCAGAGGATTAACACGGCGGAAAGAATTTTTGTAGTATACCTACCTATTGATGCAAATCTCTATAAAGTCATAAAGCGCACGTGTTCAATGGCGAAATAATGAACAACATGCATGTTACATAAACATGAGACATGAAGGTTAATGTATAACTATTCTGCTTTAAACAATTATTGTTATGATGCTGGAATGAGGTGTATGTTGAAGTGGGCTTCCCCCCATACCAAGATGACATGCAATCACCAAAGTGCATCGAGTCTTAAACAAGCAAATTCATTCACATTCACAGATATGATAACGTCCACAATGTTTTCTAACATATTTGTTAAGGAACCTCACGATATCTGTTCCTCCATGTAAAACAGTGACCAGAAAGATAACATCCTGAATAATTTGAACTTGCCCTGATGAAGCCTCGAGATGCAAAAGCAAGCATAAACACTTCTGATAAGGGCAAAGAGCGTAAGAGCGTGTCCTGTCCCACCGAAAACAACAGGCCGAGGACAAGACAACACCCCATGCACTGCAATGAGGTTGTCTGAAATACCTGTGTAGATATATAAATACATAAAATAAGACTCGATTATCAGGTTCCATTGGACAATGTGCGAGAGACCAGTATGGAAAAGTTTAACTTGCGAGCAGTTGTCGGGTGAATTGTAATTTGTGAGAAAACAATGTTACATTAAGATCGGTTCACAACTTCTATGTCAACAAACAATGTTACATTAAGATTGGTTCACAATTCCTATGTCGACAAACAATGTTACATTAAGATCGGTTCACAACTTCTATGTCGACAAACAATGTTACATTAAGATCGTTTCACAACTTCTATGTCAACAAACAATGTTACATTAAGATCGGTTCACAACTTCTATGTCGACAAACAATGTTGCATTAAGATCGGTTCACAACTTCTATGTCGACAAACAATGTTACATTAAGATCGGTTCACAACTTCTATGTCGACAAACAATGTTACATTAAGATCGGTTCACAACTTCTATGTCAACAAACAATGTTACATTAAGATCGGTTCACAACTTCTATGTTGACAAACAATGTTACATTAAGATCGGTTCACAACTTACATGTCGACAAACAAAGTTACAATAAGATCGGTTCACAACTTCTATGTAAAAAAACAATGCTTCATTAAGATCGGTTCACAACTTATATGTCGACAAACAATGTTAATTCCATTCGATGTGGGAATCGCTTGACAAAAGAATATCACAGAGGGTGTCAAAATTATGACTCTTATGTTATTTATTTTTGTTTATTTTCTTATTTGTGTCACCTTCTTATTTATTTAAAAAAGAAATTATCAATATTGTTTCGATGTCTTAAGGGATGATTTTAAACCTATGTTTCAAATGTGAACTGTTGCGGTTTTTTTTAATTCTGATTGAGAAATGACCGCCTCCGTGGTCATGTGGTAGAGCGTCCGCCCGGAGAGCGGAAGGTCCGGGGATCGATACCTGGCCGCGTCATACCAAAAGACATTAAAAGATGGTACTTGTTGTTACCATGTCTGGCGCTCGGCATTAAGGACCTAAAACAAGGACTGATCGGCTCGGAGTCAGTATACTGTGTCTGAGTGGAGTATTCATGCTAAACTGCGGCATGGTATCTCAGTGTGCTAGCACTATAAATCGGCATCAGTCTGGACTGGTACAAGCAGCCACACAGACACGTGCATGCACGTCGCTATATAAATGCAATAATCTTGGACGCGACGTTAAACCCAATTTCACCTCACCTCGAGCTCACCTGATGGAGAAATGTACAAAGAAAATATTAATACGGTAAATAATTATCGTTCAGGTTCAATGAATAGATAACATCATAACCGTGAGAAAATGCTTAAATGAAGATAACATGAATATAGTTAACACTTCAAAACAATTCAAACAAGCATGAAATACTCACATCCCCCGCCAATATGACATGTCGGGTGTGTGCAATGCATTAGCTCCTGTGAACTATGTTCACTGGGCCTTTTTGTAAATGGCCTAATTGCAGCACTAAAAAAAGTTATTACTGTAGTTGTTTTTCCATCTGCAGTTTATGATAGAATATGTTACTGAATTTGTAATGAGTAAGGATGAGACATATGGACGAACAACTTCTTTATTACAATTAGGAGCGATGGTTTCGGTGTAGGTTCTAACACCATTAGGCACTCGTGAAGAGCAACCTCCCCGTGGTGAGTGCTGGGTAACGCTAATAGCTCTTCCCCCGTGTGGACTCGGGGTAGAATTTGTCCACAGCACCCCATTGCTGGTCGTAAAAGGCGACCAAATTGGGCAACCCGTTTGCCGTGGGTTGCGCCCCTGTGTCGGCGGAGGACGGGATTCTGGTGGTTGAGGGCATTGGAGCCAGGAACAAGTGTTCCTTTTGCCCAACACACCACTTCGACCCTTACTTCGCCTAGACGGGTGGTAGAATTGGCCCGATTCTATCAATCGGCTGGTCACGTCATGCCCTAGCATGAAATACATGGCTATATTATTAAGAATATAATTGCACGCTAAACTTTGTTGTCAAAATCATTGTTTTGTTCCTGTTTGCCTAGAGTCGTATGCCAGAAGGCGGTGGCTCATGGGCCAATCTGGAGATAGAGACCTCTGAATTCTGTGTTTCTTGGGGAAAGTGTTATGGGCCGAACCAGCCTGACGCTTATTCTTTTTGATCTCATAGCTTTTCAAGTCTATATTTTCTGGAGTATAGCACCTCTGTATCCCTGGTGTTGCAGGTTGGCTTCCACTGTGACATCGTCCTTGTTGACACTCGATGGCGGGTGGGGAGCAGGGGTGCTGAATCACTACATAACACCATGGCTCACCACAATCTATCTGGTTCTTTCAAAACAAATAAACGTCGTCATGTCGATTCTTTAACGTCTGACGAAGAAGAAACATCAACTGAGATTGCAGATTCTTGGCCGAGATTCATTGTCATCGCATCTGCTGATGGCAATCCTTTAAAACTAAATCCTTTCGCTATCTCGAAAGGCATTCAAAGTGCCTGTGGAGAAGTTACCAATGTTACACGTCTTCGTTCTGGTTCCATCCTTGTGGAATGTGCACGGAGACAACAATCTGTCAATCTGCTGGGTCTACAGCAGTTTGTTAACACCCAGGTTGTTGTTTCGGTGTTTCAAGTAGAGGCATTGTCAGGGACCGCGCACGCTGTCTTTCTGACATGGCAGAAGAAGAGATTGCTGCTGAATTGAAACATCAAGGGGTCACTGCTGTTAAGCGGTTCAGTAGAAAATCAGAAGATGGAAAATTTATCCCAACTAACACATATCTTTTTACTTTTTGTCTTGCTAAAATACCAAATTCTATTAAAGCCGGTTACTTTAACATCGGAGTGGAGGTTTATGTTCCAAATCCTCTCCGGTGTTACAAGTGTCAACAGTTTGGACACGGGGCAAAAACTTGCACTCGCAAGGCCAGATGCTTCCGTTGCAGTGGAATTCACGAAGGTTCCGAGTGCACAGATGATGTCAAGTGTGCCAACTGCGATGGGGAGCATGTGGCCTCATCCAAATCATGTCCAGTGTTCGTATCAGAATCACAGATCTTAAAACTGAAGCACACGCAAAATATTTCTTATTCTG